TCAAATGGGCTATATTTTGGTTTACTAACGATATTCTCAGAAAGAAGAATTTGTGTACATCAATGATTTGTAATGCATTTAAAATTAAATCCTGTTTTTTTAAAAAATTTAAGTATTATAATAGTACTATTTATAGCTAGCAGAAGTAGATACAGGGCCAAGTTTTAATTTGCCTGGAAGGTTGAGGCATTCCTATGATAACTGGAAAAACTGAAATGCATTGAGGTGTCCCAGATGAATGGATGATGTTATTTTTAGTTCTGAAAGTTAGCCATTCATGGATTTTTGCCTAGAGCTCTTTTGTAACATATTGAATGCAAACGTTTGGACATTGTAGCATAAATCTTAAGTTGTCCATTCCTCCTTTCCCCAAAGGAAAAGAAGACCAGAGCAACAATGTTGAATATTTAAGTAATTACTTCCTATATTTGGCTTTCTTATTGGTAACTCTTAAATATCAGTTAAAATTATTGTTCATTCACCTAATGAATTTAGAAATTTTATTAGTGTCAACAAGTTAATGTAATGGTACTCTTCATTTTCCAACCAATACTCATCTGAGATTTGAATGTTTGTTTAAATAGCAGGGATGTCCTGTTCCTTGGTTTCCTTTAAGACTTCATAAATTGCAGAGCTCTCAAACCAATTAGTAGAACATATTAAGCCACAGCAATAAAGTTTCCCAAAAACCTTATGATAACTTGTAATGATACCCTTCCTACCTACAATGTACTGCATTAGAATGTCCTCTTTACTTAATTCACCGATATCAACAATTCTATATAAAAATGAAATAATTTTGAAATTCCCTCAGAAACATTAGAGTTTATTACAAAGATTATTTGTGGCAAGACTTAGTTTAAAAAAATAAATCTATCTTTAGTGACATTTATGAGCTGACTTCTTAGCCATTAGATACCAGGTTTCCCTTTCTGGACATTCCATCTGTAACTCACAGTTTTAGAATGTGAGCCTTACTTGGAAAGATGAGTGTAAGATCAGATGTCTACTGCAAATTCCTGGGAAGTTACTGATTGTTAAATTACTATGATGTGATTTAAGTGTATTTTCAAAAGGATTCTATGTGGATAGACTCAGTATCCTTCCATTCAGTAGCATTTGTATAGTGCTTGACATAGGCGCTGAGTATTTTTAAATGAATAAATGAAAAAGAATGCTGACATGAGGCCTTATGGACTATCTACCACAAGTAAGTCCAACCTATTCCAGGTCAGTGATGCAATAACATTGGACTTGGATGTAGGTGGGAAGGGAGAAGAATTGAGGTCAAATACAAGCTGGGCTGCTGCCTCCCTCACTTGCTGTATGAATTTAGGCAAGTCACTTGACTTTTCAGGGCCAGAGCTGTCCCTTTTAGAAAGTGAAAGTATTGTTGTGAATGTGCTGAGTGGTCTTTGGTTTCTGGCCTTGAATGTCCTTTGTCTTAAGTAAGCTCTTCTATTTCCAACCGGAAAAAGGTCAAAGTGTTCTCAGAACCTAGGGCTACTCCACATAGCCAGTTTTGGGAAATTTTCTCTTTCTCCTTTTCTAACAAAATACACTCCCAGTCCACTTACCTTTAGTTCTGTATTGTGAAAAGAATTTTACCAGGAAATAATCTGTAATTTAAGGAATATTAATAAATTCAACTGGAAGTACAAAAGAAAGACACACAAACGCAATCCAGCGCTATCTAGCTTCAAACCCAGTTTTAACTTGAAATAATTGTATTTCTGGGTGTCTCTGTTCAATCACTGAAATCTGACCTCTTCTTAGCCTTGTTTCTTTCTTCCCCTCCCCTCTTTCATTTCATCATCTCCCCTCCCCTCCCTTTTCCTTTCTTCTCCTTTCCTTTCCCTGTGTGCTATCTCTTTACCACTATCTGGAAAAGGTTGTATTGTCTTCTTTTTTTCCAACTAATCTCTAAAATTTGGTTTTCTTAAATCTCTAATGATGAAGTCCAGCAGTGTCTCCAGGATGAGCTGCATGCCTGTGGAGTACTTTGAGCATCTCTTTGGGTGTAGTCACTTATTCGGGTACCTGCCTCTTGTAGGCCTGGCTTTACTTCTCTCTCCTAACTCTTGTTTTTCATGGTTCTCCCCCTTTCTGCTTACTCCTGCTTCTCTTGAATTTCTTATACTTCTGGGTTCAGGTGAGTTTTGTCTCATAATCTTGGCACCCTAGTCTAGTCTCAGCCTTTCTAAAAAGTCATTTTAACATAGATACTGTGTTCAGAAGCTTAGATTCTGATCATTTAAAATATCAAAGTTGCAAATGCTCTAAGAAATTGACAGAGAGAGAGAAAGAGGAGGGAGAGAGAAAATTGATAGCCCTTTCTTTACCCATGTAGTTTATTTCTTTATACATGGAGACTCTCAGCTTCTTTCTTTTTGTGATTTTCAGCTTTTCAAGAGTTTCATCCCCCTATGCTTTGTGTTCATGAAGACAAGACAGAGCTCTAAAATTTTAGCTTTCTTGAGTCACTAGAGAGTCTTTTGTGCACACCTTCCCCTTCTGAAACAATTGATTTGTCTAGTTTCACAAAGAGCAGTATTTGTTTTAAAGAACCAGTTGGGATCAATACCCAAGTGCAGGTGTCCTAAAATATAAGATGGTGCTTCATTCGGAATCCTCAAGGTAGAGTAAAATAAATTACCAACATCTTGGCTCCATGCTCCATTCACAACTGTTAATTTTATAGGGTTATGCTTCCATTCCTGAGGAGAGAGCTACTGGCAGGGACAGCTGCTCCCATGTCTCAGCCTGGGCTGTGCTCCTCCGAGTAGGAGTCAGCAAGAGGAGCAGGATAGGGAGAAGGTGGTAGTGCATCAGACAACTAAGCAGTGGAGGAGGGAACAGGATGGGCATCCCCCAAGTGCTTTTTACGTACTCCCTTTAATCTTTGCGTGTATGCATGCATGGTTAATTAAGGAAGAAGGAAAAAATTGACTTGAATTTTACTGAGAAAATTATCAAACCTGCTTTTACTCTTACATGTAGCTCATTTTCAAAAATACTTTTGTGTATCACTGGTATGTTGATGGTCCTATGCAGCAAGAGGTCTATATGCTTGTCCAAAGAATGTCTAACTGTCCCACATCATGATTAGCAGAAGCTGGTTTGACAGGTGGAAAACTTGTCTTGAGTTGTCCTGTATTAGCTTACCTCCTAAACTGGAGCAAAGGTCAAGAATGAAACCAGGCATAGAACATGTTACATGATAAACACTCTTTTATTAGTGGCTTTTTGAGAGAAAGTTGCTGTGTTGTTCACTGCTGTTATTTCCCCTAGAACAGTGTTCACAAAAGTGAACAAAAGTTCAATGCTCAAAAGTTAAAGAGATTTAAAAATGGAGACTATCAGTAGCCATGTTGGGGCACCATGGTTAATAATGGAACTGGATAGAATTTTGTGTACTTGCCTACACAATTCTTTCTATAACTATACCTGCTGTTCCTATCCTCTGATTTAATTTTCATGTGGGAAATAATCATTTGCAGTGTATATTATGCGACAAATGTTGCCATCAAAAGGTGTAAATATCTATGCTAGTCTCTTGTCTTTAGTACTAAGATGGCTCTATTGATGATAACGTAAACACATTTTAGGCTCCCAGTTGCTTTGGGAATAAGGAATTGTGACTTAGTGAATATATGTTGCTTTTTCAAAAAGAGAAACAGGGTTTCCATCATTTTTTAAAATTCAGGAATAATGGTCTTTTTTTATTCAGATTTTGAATGCTTGGTATGTTTATTACTAATGTTGGATCACGCGCAGAAGAAAGTTAGACATTATTTTGTGACCAGCATTGTAAGTTGTCACATTCTAAACAAATCCCTTAAAGACTTGGAACTCATTTACATTTTGCATAAAATTCTGATAGGATTTATGGTTTAAACTTTTACTATACTCTTTGTCTTACATTTATTAATTTCCTTATCAGGCTTAAAACTTGGGGGACTAGTCTTTTGCATAGTATCTTTTTAAAACCATAAAATTTTATGCAAAATCCTCCTCAAAAACCCTGAAATCCCTATATCTTTCAGAGCTCTTTAATAAAAACCTGGGGTGAATGTGAATTGTTTTTTGTTTTTGTTTCTGGCTTGTTTGCTTTTTTGAGACAGGGTCTCACTCTGTTACCGAGGCTGAAGTGCAGTGACACAACAGCAGCTCACTGCAGCCTCAACCTCCCGGGCTCAAATGATCCTCCTGCTTCAGCCTCCTAAGTAGCCAGGACCACAGGTGTATGCCACTGTACCTGGCTAATTTTAAAATATTTTGTAGAGATGGGGTCTCACTATGTTGCCAGGGATGGTCTCAAACTCCTGGGCTCAAGTGATCCTTTTCCCTTCACTTCCCAAGGTGCTTGGATTGCAGGTGTAAACCACTGCACCCAGCCTGTAAATGTGATTTGAGTTGTCAAAGTATGTCTTAAAAAATTGTTAGTTTAAGTTTGACATGGAGCAACATTGAGCTGGGGAAAGGAAATACATATGAAATCATGCCAGTGGCCAGGCGAGGTGGTTCAAGCCTGTAATTCTAACACTTTGGGAGGCAGAGGTGGGTGGATCACCTGAGGTCAGGAGTTTGAGACCAGCCTGGCCAACATGGTGAAACCCCGTTTCTACTGAAAATATAAAAATTAGCTGGGTATGGTGGCACACGCCTGTAATCCCAGCTACTGGGAAGGTTGAGGCAGGAGAATTGCTCGAACCTGGGAGGCAGAGATTGCTGTGAGCCAATGTCATGCCATTGCACTCTATCCTGGGTGACAGATTGAGACTCTGTCTCCAGAAACAAAAAGCCAGTGATTCTGGAAGGTTCCAAAGGACAGTACATTTCCCATACTGTGGTAGAAAGAGGAGGCTTGAATTCTTAACTACCGAAACAATGTCTGGCACAAAGTTAATCACTCAGTAAATATTGTTGAATGCTGAGATTTAAAGGAGAAGAACATCACTAGAGCCCTCTCCTTTTTTCCCCCTCTTTTCTCCATAAAGGTTGAAAAAAATGATGAGGACCAAAAGATTGAACAAGATGGTATCAAACCAGAAGATAAAGCTCATAAGGCCGCGACCAAAATTCAGGCTAGTTTCCGTGGACACATAACAAGGAAAAAGCTCAAAGGAGAGAAGAAGGATGATGCCCAAGCTGCTGAGGCTGATGCGAGTAAGAAGAAGGATGAAGCCCCTGTTGCCGATGGGGTAGAGAAGAAAGGAGAAGGCCCCACTACTACCGAAGCAGCCCCAGCCACTGGCTCCAAGCCTGATGAGACCGGCAAAGCAGGAGAAACTCCTTCTGAGGAGAAGAAGGGGGAGGGTGATGCTGCCACAGAGCAGGCAGCCCCTCAGGCTCCTGCATCCTCAGAGGAGAAGGCCGGCTCAGCTGAGACAGAAAGTGCCACTAAAGCTTCCACTGATAACTCGCCGTCCTCCAAGGCCGAAGATGCCCCAGCCAAGGAGGAGCCTAAACAAGCCGATGTGCCTGCTGCTGTCACTGCTGCTGCTGCCACCACCCCTGCTGCAGAGGATGCTGCTGCCAAGGCAACAGCCCAGCCTCCAACGGAGACTGGGGAGAGCAGCCAAGCCGAAGAGAAGATAGGTGAGCAACCTCGAGGGTCAGATGCAGTGGGTAGATGGGGAGGGGAGTTGCTATTCAAAAAGCCGGGCCACTTGGGTTATCAAGGGAGAGGAAACAGTCTAGAAGATGTTTTCCAGAAATCAAGGGAAGCTGGGCTTAATTTCCCAAAGTGGCAGGACTAAGAGCTAAGGTTACATTCCCAAATATCTCTAAACCTGAGAGAGGACTCAAGCAGGTCTATGTAGCAGCCAGTACTAGAAAAATCTGGCAGTTATCTTAATTGGATTGATATATGCAGTCGAGCTAGATAAAACTGCTTTAAAAAAGTATTCTGTGTGCGGATAGACTTAGTTTAATACGTAATTACTGACGATAGATATATTTTATGGATGGGAATTAGCTAATGTGATTATTTGGCTCTAGAAAATGCCTGGTATAAATACAGCCAACCTCTTCTTGATCCAGATTATCTAGTGTATGAATTGCTGGCAGCAAAAGTATAATCTCAGACCACCCTCCCCTATCTCACAATATGTTTCTGGGCATTCTCTCCACCATCAGTTGGTGAGTAGTGTGTGTATATGTGGGTATCCTCAGAGAATGTTAATTGTTACATTAATTGGGGTCAAACATAATTAGGAAAATAAGTCTGTTGATGTTGCCAAAAACAAAGAAAAACCCCCAATACAGAACATGCTGTGAAGTCAAACATAAATAATCATTTTATTATTGAAGACACAACTTTCTACAATATGCATAAATAATTGAGGGTTCCTATGATTACAAAAAGGTACTGGATTCTCTTCAGTTTGGAGCTGTAACTTGAAAGTTGGAGTGTTTTCACTATTACTGCTCAATTGTGCAGAATTGGAATAGAATATTCCCAGAGCAAAATCAATTTAACAGAGCTTCATCCCTAAAGACTAGATCCCTCCCTCACCCCAATACATCCACAGTGGTAAAGGAGGCCAGCAGTTTCCATGATCTTTCTCTAGTCCAATATGACCCAGCCTCAAGTATTCATAGATACTCAATGATCCTCAAAGACAAAGTTTCTTCTGTATCCATTTAAAAGATTGGATTTACTCCTTTACAAGCACCTGGGTTTAACCAATGATGTTTGTCATCCAAGGGTTCAAATATGGACTGAACTGCAGTGTGCTCCCTGGGAGAAAACCTACTCCATGAGAGTGGTCTGAGAAATGGTTTGGCATCTGAGCGTCAGATTGAGAAAGTAATGATTGGACGTTTACCTTGATACACGTTTCTCCAAAATTAGATACCACAATATGGCAGGTGACTATTCTAGATATTTTAGGTCTACTTCTTTCATCTTATCCCTAAAATTCTGTGACTATGATGCCAGATTACATTAATTAACATTGTTATTAGCATATTCCAGCTCTGGATAAATCACATGCTTCTTTTTTACCAGTGATTCATTTTGAATCTTTATTCTAACCACACAACTGTCCCAGGGGCCAGACACTGAGGTTTAGAAGATGGGAATTTTTCCCTGGAAAAGGTAAGGCATGTGTTAAAAAGTGGGATGTGGGTTTTAATTTACTCAGCAAAGCAAAACTTAGCTACTGTTCTTTAGATTTAAGGTTTGAGCCTCAGATATGATGTCTGGAAATCACTTTGCATATAGACAAGTTACCTACTGTGTCATTTTCCTAAATCTTAGAAATTAATCATGGTTTTACCTACAGAACATATCTGACATGGCACAGACCATATTTTTAAACTGGGATTTCTAAAGTTGTGAGAAACAGAGAACTTATATGATTTTAGGTATACACAAGTGATTTGGATTGATAGAAGGACTTCTTGAATCAGTAAAACGTCTGATATGTATTTTTAAATAAATTAAGTTTTATTTTTTTTTTCAGGGTATGATAACTCCAAATGAATTAATGACATATTTTATGTAGTAAATGGTCAACAAGTATCAAATATTGGATATAAATTTATAAAATTTAAGTTATAGATAATAACTTGTTCACTCATTTATATATTTCTCCTGCAGCTTTGCTTACTCTATTCACTTATTTGATTAAAAATGTGTCTGGTCAGTGAAAACAAACAGCAGTCTTCTCTGCCCTAAATGTTACAAACTCTGACTGAAAAATATCTTAATTAATCAGACTTTATTATGTGCATTCAAAGGTGGTTGAAAGCATAGGTGAAGTTCAACTTGAAGGTAATCATAAAGTGCAATTTACATTGTTTCTTGAGTTGGATAGGTATTGGTCCCTTTGGTTAGATTCTGAAATGCTGCCCATTTCTTCTCTCTGGATTGAGGTATCTATTAGCCTTGGCTGCTCTATGTGACAAGCACAAATTACCCTGCTGTGATGAATCTCATGGGATCACAGAAGGTAGAGATGACAAGGAGATCTATCACATCATATCAGGTCCAAATTCCCAGGTGCCCTATACGGCATTTCCTCTACCTTCCACTGTATTTCATTTTAATCTGAGTTAAAGTGGCAGCATTTTCCACTGTGCTGTACTATTTGGAAATGTGTGGCTATCATTGGTTGCTTTAGGATTCTATGGCTGCCTGGAGGGTCATAGAGAAATACTCTAAGAGGGTGCAATAGGGTTAAGGGGCAAAATATGTACAAAGAGAGAATCTAAGAAAATAATTTCTGTCAATACCAGGCTTAAACATTTTAGATCAGATATGATTATTACTTTAATACCTATGGAAATGTTTCGTGAATTATAAATGTTATTTATTTTCCTTCTTTTATTATTTACTGCCAACCTGTTTGTTATGGGTGTATGTCATTTGCATTTTGACCTTTGAAGTTGGTTGATTATTGTCATTGTTTTAAATTCTCCAAGTATGTCACCCTCTCCCTACTTTGCCACTCTGCCTGCCCAACTCTTTACGTGCCTGGGACCAAAACATTTCAGTGCACCTCTGATAATGTTTCCTTTAGAGGAAGACGAGTGTTTAAAATATCTGTGGGACACTGCCCCATTCAGCTGTGAGTAGAGAACTTTCAAGACCCCTTTAGTGATTATATCCTTGGGAATCTCCTGCTGAGTAGTGTCACTGTGCTCATTGGTGCTCAGTGAAGGAATTCTGTTTTATGTCTCCTCTTCTCCATGGTAGCCAATTGATTTTCCCCAGTAGAGGACTCTGCTGTGGTCATATTCAGTGTCATGGCACTACCAAGGTAACCTATTCAGAAGGCTATCAATCAGTGATATTCATTGGGTGGCTGCCACAGGGTCCTTAAATTATGCTAGTAGGAAGTGTAGCTGCTCTGAGTGACTTTCGATGTTCTGTATGTTGATCTTGGCTGCATTTTATTTTTAAGATCTCAGTACATCATGCAAATTGTTGCCATCAGTAATGATCAAGAAAAGAGAAAGGAGTTTCCTCTTGCCATTCTCTGAATAGAAAAATTAACTTAGTGTCTCCCTACCTCTCTTCCTCCTCTTTTTTTATCCTTCCTCCGTCCTTCTTACCCTTTCTCTCTCTTTTTTTTTTTTGATTCTTCCTTTCTTTTTTCCTTCCCTTTATATTAACTTTCTTCTGTGCTAGGTATTGGGGTCACAAAGATAAATAAGATATAGTCCTTTGGTTAAGTGTGGTGGGTCACGCCTCTAATCTCAGCACTTTGAGAGACCGAGGAAGGAAGACTTGAGTCCAGGAGTTTGAGACCAGCGTGAGCAACAGAAGGAGACTCCATCTCTACAAATAATTTAAAAATTAGTAGAGTGTGGTGGTATGTGCCTGTGGTCCCAGCTACTCTGGAGGTTGAATCAGGAGAATCACCAGAGGAGGTCAAGGCTGCAGGGAGCCATCATTGTGTAACACTGCACTGCAGCCTGGGTGACAGACTAAGACCCTGTCTCAGAAAAACCAAAACAAAACAAAACATAAACAAGATATGGTCTTTTGACCTTAATGAATTTTTACTTGGTAGTGGGGGAGTAGCATGAGGTTCAGGGAATGACATTGAAAGCATTCATATTTATAATCTCAATTAAATTCTGCAAATAGGTATGGGGTCCTTCTCTATGCCAATGCACTTTGGACAAAATATATATGAAGCAGTGCTTCAAGGGCCAAGATGCAGCCTGCTGCTTACTAAAAAATGTTTTATATAATGTGTGTCCTGATACTCAAATTATTAACAAAATTAATAGGTGCAAAGTTTATAATTTCCAGAATAATTGTGTGCAAGAAAATGAAATACCAAGCTCATATTTCTGGATTAAAAAAAAATTGTTTATGTTTCCCAGAACAATATTTTCCCTAAGGCCCAAGGTAATCATCTATTTTTCAGCTTTGCAAAAGATATGTCCACTTCTACTAACCTGTGTCTAAGTTAGATGTGAGATTTTCCAAGGATATTTACACCCATTTGGCAGGGTGACTCCTGAGCAGTTTTGATTTGAAATGTGGTTTCAACCATTTCCTAAATTTATCGACTGCTCACAGAGAATAAAAATTTTGGTTGCGGAAGTCCATAAATGCTATTTATAAAACATGGGCACCCTGTCAGATACTCAGTGGTATACCTCTTAAATACTGTTGATTATTAAGCTTTTATGGAGCACTTTTATTTTGCTAGAGTAATCATTTTTATTGGCTTTTCTTGACAACATCCCAATGTCATTTGATAATATTTTTCTTTCTATTTTTATATTGCAAGAATAGAGACAAAGCAGATGGGTATTCTGCCCACAAATACACTCAGTGTCAAAACAAGGGCCTAACTGACAGAACTCTAAATCCTCACTTTAACTGTAGCCCTACAGTTCTTTCCATCTATTAAGGTGTTATGTTTCATCTCAGTTTCTGCACTTTCTTTTTATCTTAGCTGTTGTGATGATCTGATGCTATTGGAAATACCAACCAGGACATTACTAGGATATTCTCTGTTCTACTTGCCCTGTAATACAATGCAGGGAAAAGAACTTTGAACTGAAATAAAGAGACCAGGGTTCTAAGTCTCAATATTTCTACCAACCAGATGTGAGTTTCTAGAGATTTT